ATAGGTCCGGGGTCTGATGTGAGGCCGTCCTGGGCAAACTGTCTGGAGAGAGCGTCTGCGTTAGCGTTCTTGGAACCAGGGCGGTAGGCGAGGTGGAAATTGTAAGGCTCAAAGAATAAGGCCCAACAGGCCTGCCTTGGGTTGAGCTGCTTGGCAGTCCAAATATGGATCAGGTTCTGATGGTCAGTCCAGATCAGAAAAGGGTCTTTCGCTCCCAGGAACTAATGCCGCCACTCTTCTAAGGCCCACTTGATGGCCAGGAGTTCTCGGTCTCCGACACCGTACCGTTGCTGCGTGGGAGAAAATTTCCTAGAGAAATAGCAGCATGGGTGAAGTTTTCTGTCCGGGCCATGTTGAGAAAGGACGACGCCAGCGCCAACATCGGAGGCATCCACCTCCACCACAAAATCTCTGGCAGGATCAGGGTGGCGTAGGACGGGGGCCGTAGTGAACCGGTGGATAAGGTCTCGGAATGCCTGTTTCGCACCTGGGGAGAGGCAGAAGGGCTTAGGCAGGTTAGCTGGTTTGGTGAGGGATGTCAGTGGGGCGACAACGGTGCTGAAATTGCGGATAAAGCGCCGATAGAAACTGGCAAAGCCCAGGAAGCTCTGTGGCTGAGGCCACTGGGTCACGGCTTGGACCTTTTGCGGGTCCATGGTCAGGCCATTGGAGGAGATGGTGAAGCCTAGGAAGGTGGTGGACCGCTGATGGAAAGCACACTTCTCCAGTTTGCAGAACAGCTGGTACTCGAGCAGCCTGCTCAGCACGGCCCGCACATGGCGAATATGGTCCACTTCGGTGCGGGAGTAGATCAAGATGTCATCTAGATAAGCAAACACCCACCGGCCTAGCATATCCCGCAAGACATCGTTGATCAGATGTTGGAAGACAGCAGGGCTGTTGCAGAGGTCGAAGGGCATCACCAGGTACTCCCAGTGCCCCTTAGGGGTGATGAAGGCTGTCTTCCATTCATCCCCTTCCCTAATTCGCACCAAATTGTAGGCGCTGCGTAGGTCCAGTTTGGTGAAGATGCAGGCCTGGGAGAGGGAATCGAGTGCGGTGGATAGCAGAGGAAGAGGATGGCGGTTCTTGACGGTGACTTTATTCAAGCCCCGATAATCTATACAGGAGCAGAGCCCGCCATCTTTCTTCTTGTCAAAGAAGAATCCTGCAGCTGCAGGGGAGGTAGAAGGGTGAATAAAGCCCTGTTGGAGAGCCTCAGCAACGTACTCCTCCATGGCTTTGTCCTCTGCTGGTGACAGAGAGAACAGGCGACCACGAGGAGGGACCGCTCCCGGGAGGAGCTCAATGGCCATGTCGTAGGAGCGATGAGGAGGTAGAGTAGAGGCTCGCCTCTTAGTGAAGACCTCAGATAGGTCGTGGTAAGCCGGAGGGATCTTATCCAGATCAATGGGCTCCGGGGGTGAAGCCTCTTCTGACTTTGAGTTCTTTTTGGTCCGAGAGAGAAGGCAGCGGCGTGGACACTGGGGACCCCAATCCAGGATCTGGCAGGAAGACCAGGAGATGTGGGGGTCATGTTGACGGAACCAGGGGAATCCAAGGATGAGAGAAGAGGAAGTGGCCGAGACTACTAGAAACCGGATCTCCTCCTGATGATCCCCAATAGACATGTGAACCGGCTGGGTCTGGAACTGGATCGGGTAGGGTTGGAGGGGTCGCCCATCTACTGAGGTCACCGGGAGAAATCGATCGATGGAAGTTAACGGAATGCGAAGTCGAGAGGCTAGTTTTTGGTCGATGAAGTTCTCAGCGGCTCCGGTGTCCAGGAGGGCTTCAGATGAGAACTGTTGGTGTTTCAGGTGAAATATTACTGGTAACAGAAAACGAGAGGGGTCAGAGGAGTGGGAAGGGCCAGGTGGGACTCCCCCGCAGTCTACCTGGCGTCGTCGTTTCACGGACGTAGCGGGCACTGGGGACGACGGTGTCGAGCTGATCTACAGTAGGCGCAGAGACCCTCACGCCAGCGTCTCTCTCTCTCCTCTTTGGAGAGTCTACCCAGCTGCATGGGCTCCTCCCTGGATGTACTGCTTGGGCTAGCAGCGGCTCCGTCAGAGGGGGGAGGAGGCTGCGAAGACGTGGCCCTGTGAGGCTGGAAGGGTTTGAAGCCCGAGGGGTGTGGCGAGGCCGCGACATCACTCGTTGGTCGATCTTCAGGGCGAGGTCCACGGCCTCATCCAGAGTCTTTGGGGCCTCACGGCCGGTCATCTCATCTCGGATGTAATCAGCCAGTCCCTCCAGAAAATAGAGTGCAGAGAAGCATCTCCCCACTTTAGCTTAGCGGCCAGGGTACGGAATTGGGAGGCAAAGTGACAGACGGGTCGACTGCCCTGGCGTAAATGAAGCAGCTATGACTCCACTTCCACTTCGCTGCTCGGGGGAACAAACGTCTTTTTTAATTCCTCCACAAACAGGGCATAGTCATTGCAAGCTGCAGATTTATTGTTGTAGAGAGCCGTGGCCCATTCCTGAGCCTGGCCAGACAAGAGAGAGGTTAACAGTGCAACTTTTGCACGGGCGGTGGCGTATTTAGTGGGCTGACATTCAAACAGCATGTCTAAAGTGGCGAGCAAACCATCAGGCCGGCCATCAACTCCGTTCCACTTATCTGGTAGTCCGATCCGGGGCTCCGCGCTCACCGGCGCTGGCTGACGTTGCAGCGAGGTGACGGAAGTGGAAAGTTGGAGGACAGTTTTGGTGAGGGACTCCATTTTTGTGCTCATGTGATCTACCACACTGCAAAGATATAGTACTTCGGCTTTCAGCCGTTCGAATTCCGCTGGGTCTATATGCGGCTCACACATCCTGTCACGATCGGGCGAATTACACACAGTAGTTCGGCGTGCCCATGTGGCGTGCTGGCTAGACCCAAACGCGGCGAAGGCTAGCGGTGGGTGGGAACAGACACGCAGTTATTCTAGTAACGATCAGTGCATGAAGCGTGGCTTCGGAACTGGCGTTACAGACGGAGAGCGAGCGGAGCCGGGATGAGAAAAAGGATTGAAGGGAAAAACACTCACGGTTGCTGAATCAGACAGAGACTGACGTCGGCAAAGTTTCGGAGCTCCTGACATGAAGAGAACGATGTCTGAGCGGCGAACAGGTGGGTGGCGTCTCTTTTAAACCCGGCCCCGTGATCAGCTGATCACCGGCTGACAGGTGCAAGTAAAACACAGCATTTTTTTTTTTAAAATCCCAAGATTTAGCAGCATTTAGTCCTGTCGCTCTTAAATCTGTTTTCACCTTTAAAGCAGGAGTGGGGCAGGTGGAGGTTCGCCTGGTTTTGCAGCGGTCATGTCAGTGGGGGGGATCCAGGAGTTTCTCTGCGAATTTCAAATTCCCGTGGCAGCGTGCTAGGTGCTTGCTCAGATTTGAAGTTTAATTTTCCGCTGTAGAAATAAGTTTTCTTCCCACGCAGAGTGTACAGCAGATGCTAATATTTTTGTCACTTTTTACGGAGTCAAACTCAAAGTAATGTAAGTACTTCCAAGCTTTAAATGCTGCATGGTCGTACTCTCTCCCTCATTTCATATTATCCATTGTTGATCTGCACACGTCTGTTGCTGCCAAGGATGTCCTACGCTTGTACGTCATTGCCATGAAACACTCTCACAAACAAAATAAGGGTTTAGTAACGCAGTAACACAGTGTGCTTACGGGAAAGTAGCAGTAATCTAATTACTTTTTTGCAATAGCAATTGGATTACCCCTCTCTGATCACCAAAATGTACGACAAACTGCCAAAACTGTGTGTTTACTGATGTTTATTGAACTGAAAGAAATGCTGAATTTGAAATTAGCTTCCACTTAAAAAAACGCCACTCCCTTCCTGCCACCTCCTCTTCAGTAGCACAAGCTAGATCCTGCACCTAGTAAACTGTGTTTGACACAGAAATCCAAAAACAGAGCAACTCAGGCAGATAACAGGGGAAAAGAGAAAGAAAGAAAATGAGAACAATAACTAGAATAAGGAAAACACAAGAAATACAACTTAAAAAGGAATTTTGCAACACTTGTAGATAATAAATAACCTGGAAGTTATTTATTCAAACCCCGTATTTATTGATAAGACCACAGGATATCACATATTAAAACTGAGAAATATAATGGGGATTTTCTTTAAAAATATCAGAACAGGAAAATGTTTACTGTTACTACACAGTGCAACTAGTGTGGCTAACATTATCATTAGCTTTTTATTATGTGACCTCTGGTCAGAGCTATGTTGACACTATAATGATGAAAGAGATCAGAAATATCTAAAATCTTATAACTCTTTTATATAAATGACCATTGCTGTTGGCATAGAAAACAAGTACGAAATGGTTGACCAGATACTGCCTTTAACATGCTAAATTAAAGATAACACTTGTGCTGAAATTGAGAAAAAACAACCAAATGCCGTATTTTTTCTCTCACACACTCATTAATGTACAAGTCAGTGAATCCGCGGTCAATGTACAATTCCTGTGGTCTACTCTCTGAACTCTTCTGAAAAGGGGAAAGTGGGCAGGAGGTCAATAATATTTACACCTACCAACACTGAAGGCGCCTGTTTACACATGAACCAAAATCAAGGGTTATAAAACATGTATGTTACATTGAGCTGAAAGATACATTTTATTATTAACTTAACTGATCTCTGTAAAATAACTATAATAACTAATTGGATGATTGAACAAAAAAAAAAGAAAAAACCCAAAAGGAAGTCAATTAGGGAGAAGATGATTACAGAATAAAACAGGAAAAGAATGAATTTAATTAGGAAACAAATAAAAACGTGACAAATAACATGAAGTCATAAAATTATGAAAAAATTAGAAAAATTGTAAAATTATTTGTGATGCATGTAACTCATTTACAAGTGAAAGAACCTCTGAATCTGGAGTTTGAACTTCAGATTCAGAGAGTTAGGCAAACTGGACTAGATTTCAAGAACAGTCTTTCTGTGGGCAGGCTAGACAGTAGTTGGATCTCTCAACCCAAGGTAAGGAATTTCCTAAAACACTGTCCTTTAATTTTGGTGTCTATTTGGTTAAAAGGATCATGTAAATATTCCGGTGCTTGCAAGTGATGTATAGCTCTACATATTTGGCTGAAGAGCAAATAAAATTTTTCTTTACATTGTGGATACTTGATATAATTTATGAGATCACTGAGGTGATTATTTCTCTCTGATATTATAGGAGCCATGACATCCCATCATGTCTTTGGGATGCTTTCTTTCCTCAGTTTATTCCTCATTTCATTTACACCACACTGCGATGGAGGAAACATTCTAGTGTTTCCTTTAGATGGCAGCCACTGGATCAATATGAAAATCTTGCTTGAAGAACTTCATGCTAGGGGACACAACTTCACTGTGATCAGGCCGTCTACCAGCTGGTACATCTCTGAAAAGTCTGATCTATACACATCCATTACAGTTGAAACGGCTGTAGATTTTGAGCATTTTTTTGGTGGGTGTCTACAGGAGCAGGTGGAGGTATGTGAATAGTGTATGTGATGAGTCTGAATATAAATACTCTGTTATTTATAAAAATAATTTCTTTTTTCACTTTTCTTAGGTGGAAAGAGAGGGGGCATCATTGATGACTGCCTTCACACTCACCAAGAATTTTTTTTCTTTAATTTCTTTTGCACATTCACTTTGGTATGATGCTTTGAAAAATATTTTTGATGATCAAAATATGATCAAAAGATTAAGTGATTCCCAGTATGATCTGGTTCTAACTGATCCAGCTTTAGCCCCAGGGCTTATTCTAGCCAAATATCTCAAGCTCCCCTTAGTGCTCAACGTACGCTGGATCACCAGTGGAGAAGGCCACTTTGTGTTAGCTCCCTCACCACTCTCCTATATCCCAGTGCCAGGATCCGGCTTAACAGACAAAATGAATTTCATCCAGAGGCTCAAGAACATTCTTTTCTATAGCATTATACTGTTCCAGCAGAAATTTGTGGTGGACCCAGTATATAATGACATATGTGATAAGTATATTGAGGGTGGATGTGACGTCATCTCACTACTACAGGGAGCAGACATTTGGCTGTTCAGGTCAGATTTTGTGTTCGAGTTCCCTCGCCCCACTATGCCAAATGTTGTCTATATAGGAGGATTTCAGTGCAAACCAGCTCAGCCTCTGCCAGCAGAGCTGGAGGAGTTTGTTCAGAGTGCCGGGCAACATGGAGTGATCATCATGAGTCTGGGAACTCATGTCGATGCTTTGCCCAAAGAGGTTACAGAGGAAGTCGCCGGTGTCTTTGCCAAGATGCCCCAGAAGGTAACAAAAAGTCAAAGATTCATATTTCCACTACTGCGTTTTGGATTGTTAACCTATAGTATTTTAATTTGTCCATATCAGCCAATAGATACACTGTGAAAGATTCCATTGTTTGTGTATTGCCATTCAGAAACCACAGTTTAGCATTGCGGTGCATTTTGGAGCCAGAAGTGTATGTAAATTTATGAGAGGATGGAGTGGTATGTTATTAGTCAGGAAGGCTAAATTCTGTAAGAGTCTACACAAAAAAGATAGTATATTTAATGCTGGCACAGGTTACCAATAAAATAATATTAGAGTTACACTTAAAAAAAAAAATAACACAAGCAAGATTTAGGACAGATACCTTGGTTAGACTGTTAGTACAAATAAAGAAAGAGAGAGTCACACTTAGCATAGAAATGCTCCAAAAGAAAAAAATAGAATAAACACTAACAAGAGGTTCTTTTCTGTAACTTGAATTAGGTAAGGTGTCCCTCCCATAGAGTTCCTTTGACGTATATTGTTTTTGCATTAGGTTGTAAACATACTTGCTTTTGATGTCTTGACGTTTTAACTACTGTAAGCAGCCTCAACATCGAAAGGAACAGCAAATGACACTTCAGTGATCCCATCATGTAACTCCCGGAAAAGTTACTTAAAACTCATTAACATTAAGATTTTAGTCTGAATTTGCATCTAAGTTAATTCTGTGTAGTTTTGTTAAGTGTTTTGTAAAGTCTCAGGGCTAATGGGGAAATCTTTTTTTTTGTTTTTTCTTACCAGGTGATCTGGAAGCATAAAGGAGACCGACCCTCTACACTGGGAAACAACATACTAATAGTCGACTGGATGCCACAGAAAGATCTTCTGGGTCATCCACAGACCAAAGTCTTTGTAGCTCATGGAGGAACTAATGGTGTCCAGGAGGCCATTTACTATGGGGTCCCTGTGCTCGGCATACCCTTGTTCTTCGACCAGTATGACAACCTTCTACGACTGCAGGAGAGAGGAGCTGGAAAGATCATTAAGCTAGCTGATGTTAATGGCCACAGTTTTGAGCAAGGCCTTAAGGAAGTGATCCATCAAGAGAGCTACAGGCAGAACATTCAAAGACTGTCACGTTTGCACAAAGATCAGCCAATAACACCCATGGAGAAGGCCGTCTTCTGGGTAGAATATGTGATGCGCCACAAAGGGGCTCGTCACCTGCGTACAGAAGCTTATAAGATGCCCTGGTACTCTTACTACTGTTTAGATGTACTGTTCATATTGCTGTCTGTGGTCACTGTGCTGCTTCTCTCTATTGTGGCTGTTTTCAGATTTCTGTGCTGCCGAAGACAAAGAAAGATAAAAACTAAACAAAGCTAAAATATTTTCCATTTGGGAGATGACATACTATGTCTATTAGTTACTGTGGTTTAGTTCTACTCTTTAGATGTACTGTTCATATTGCTGTCTGTGGTCACTGCGCTGCTCCTCTCTATTGGCATTTTGAGATGTATGTATAGCTAAAGACCAAAACAATAAAAACACAACTGAGTTCTCTTTTAGCAAATGTTTCAATGAGTTCTTTTGAATTCTAGATAAACATGTAAAAACAGACTTTAATTTTTTTTTTAGATTTCTATGAATTTTTAATTGGAAGATGGTGCTGTCTGACCATTATTGTGGTGTTACAGCACACTTGCTAAAATGATTAAACTGGGTTTTAATTTTTAAAAAAAAAAAAACGTAACAGCAGATCGCTTGAACTTAAGATGGGGTTATTGCCACAGGCTAAACAAGGAAATGCCATCAGCAAAGGAGGAAAAGTTTAACTTGCTGATTGGCAAGGCTGCACACTTGGGTGTATAACAGCTCTAGAGCAGAGCTTTCCCTCATAGCTGAGAGGTTTTATACACATGGTATTAAGAAAAAACAAGACTAACATGTTGCAACAAATTATCAAGTCTGTGACATGCCTGGGATTAAAAAGAGCTAGAAATAGAACAATTTCAGAATGATGTGCATGCAAATGCTAAAAACCCCAAACATCTTGGCAAATAATTTTTAAAAAGGTTCAATTTGCTACTGGAAACTCTTCGATACAGAAAGTTTTTTTTTTTTTTTTTTTTTTTGGTTTGTTTGTTAGGAAGGAGAAAAGCAATGCCTAATTCAGACTGGCAAAAAGAAGAAAGTCACACATTTGGACATATTCATCGATTTTGACTGGTACTGCATGAATCAATGAAACACCAGAATTAGTGATGTTGTGGTTTGATATTCTTGGTTCTTCTGTTTTTAATGTGAAGTATTTTTGCGCTTTGAACTTTAACATTTATGAAAATTATAATATTGTAATGTTGGTCTACCTGTACATACACATGAACTTTACCATTCACGGCACGACATCATTCAACGATGGACTGGATGCAACAGAAAGATGATCTGGGTCACCTACACACAAAAGGCCATTTACCACAGGCTCAGCATAACCTTGTTCTTTGACCAATATGTCAACCTTATAGATTTGTAGGGGAAAGAAGCTGGAAAGGTCATACTCTTGGCTGATGTTGAAGGACATAGTTTGGAATAAGGTCTTCAGGAAGTGCTCCATCAATAGAACTCATAAAAATGTTTTAATGAGTTCACATCTATTAACATGCAAACATAGATTTTATTTATAGAAGTCCAGAATTTATAGAATTTGAATTAGAAGATAACAAATTGTTTGTTAATCATTGTGATTTAGTAGTGATACAAAGTAAACTTCTGGACTTCTAAAGGGTCTGCAGCCTTAAAGTACGCAGCCTCAACCGTCCTCATGGGCCGCGTACTCAAAGACCGCTAAGGCCGGAAGTGCGAGGCTTGTGAAATGGGACGGTCTAGCCTCCGTTGCGCTGCCCAGGTTGCCTAGCAACCATGATACTAACAGCTGGAAACGTGTCATACAGCTTTGTTTGACAGACATGAAGGAAAAAATCTTTTGTTCATTTGTTTGTTTCTTTCTACATGAGCTTTGATCATTCTCTGTAAGATTAAGCTCAGCTCTCCCTTGTTTTAAATGCACTTTAGAACAACACGCAGCAACACTACACATGAGCGGGAGGAGGGAGGTATGGGGTCTTCACACACCCCCGTTCTCTACTAGCCATCGGGGCAGGGGGGCTGGGAGGAGATGTTGGCTGACTGATTGGCCTCCCTGCTGCTGCGGAGCCTGGGACGGTCTGCTTGCTTCCACCCCGGGGGGAAGGGTAACATCTCTTGGGTCTGGGTTCTGTTTCCCCCTCTGGGGGCGAGGGTACCTGGACCCGGGGTATAGAGTATGTTTGGGGAGTGTGATATTGTGTACATGTCCATTTATGTCAATCCTTACGTAGGGTGAGTGCTGAGTGTTTGTATATGTGTGCATGAGGGTGGGAATGCATGTTTGTGTCTGTGTGTGCCTGTTTGTCTGTGTCTATATGTCAGGTCGGGTCTTAGACTCCACCTCTCTGGGAACTTCCAGGCCCATCTCCCCTCACCACACTCCCTGCCGGTGACTGATGCCCTCAGGGGTCGGTGCATTGGTGGCTACTTGGCGGGGCCTGGCGCCTGTTGCTTGGTCAGGCCTCCTCCGGGGTGCGGGGGGCCCTCAGGCCTCTGGCTCGGTTCACTCTGGCACAGCTGGCTGCCGGCAGATCCGGCGGGCATGCCGGTGCAGCCCCCTCTAGCTTCTGCTCGGTGGCTACTGGGTGACACCTCGTCTGGGGATCCTCAGCCCTTCCCATGAGGGTGGCACGGATGCCCCTCCGGAGGTCCTCCTTGGACTCTCGCACTCTGGGGCCTGAATCTTCTCCATGCCTGCTTCATGCCCTGGGGGACAGGGCTATGGCTCTCTACATCCTCTTGCAGACTGTTACGTCGTTCCCCCCCCACCATGGTGGAGGCAAAGGTAGGAAGGAGACAGCAACACTGGACAACCACAATCAATGAAGGACAAAGACCACAGAACAGTTAAGTATCAGGCAGGATTTATTGGTTGCTTGCCTGGATAGTCAAACTTAACAACAGAAAAGAGGTGGGGGAGGAGGACTGGGCGGTTGATCTAAATCAAAGAAATTAATAAAACAAAAAGAGGTCGATAGCTTCCAGGGCCTAACTGAAAGAAAAAATGCAAAACAAAAGGCCTACCTAGCTACTCGACAAAAGGTCAGTAAAAACATACAAGAGTGGCATCAACCGCATAACCTAGTGCGACTAACAGAGTAAAACCTACAACCAGTGTATAGGGTACCCCAGCTTACCTGTCCAGCCTCCCACCACACACAATATAAAGAAGCCTGTTCGCAAATGTTTGTCAAAGCAGAAGCCAGCAGCCACCAGCTTCTTCTTCTTCAGTCAAGTTTAACGGCAGCTTGCATCCAAAACTGTTGCATTACTGCCATTTCCTGGCTGTTAACCGTCCATCACACCTGAATCCTCAGAGCCTCCTGATGAGACCAATACTTCTCAAAAACAAAAACCACCACAGCCACCAGCTGGCCAGGGGCTGCTCATTTGTAGTAATCCTCGGCTTGTGATTGGCCAACTGGGCCCAGACCAGCCAATAGACACATGCCAATCAACTTCGAACTGGCCAATAGGTGGAGGCTTGACACCTGAAAGATAAACAGAACACAAAAGCAAAGCCACATCTCTTGGCACGTAACACAGACCATTACATGTGGAAACCATTTGAATACAAGCGCGCTGATCTACACAGGTATGCACACGGGTGTTCACTGTTCGTAGACTTAAATTACACCTTTCTTGGCTGCTACTTCAAAGCACATTGTGCGCTGTCTGTCCTGCGTGCTGCACAACAACACTGAATATTTAGTATTTAATGCTGTTTACACTTAGCTAGATTAATGCGATGGTGTTGTGTTTAGTATCTTGCTTTGTTTTTTTTTGCTTGTTTTCTATTCTTTCTCTCTCAACAGGTGATCCAGGAGATTTTATTTATTTTTTTATTTTTTCCCCCCCTTTCTCACTGTCCCTCTCCCCTTCTGTTTTTCTTTTCCTTCCTCTTTCTTTCTCCCTTTCCTATCCCTCACTCATGTCTGTCCCGTCTGTAACAACTGAAAATAAAATAAAATAAATAATAAAAACAAATTCGATCAAATGGACCAATACGGCAATGCCACGATGATCCATTTGGCAAAATAAATCCATTGGGTATCCTTGTTGGTCTTCAGACAACAATTCTGACGGCTAAAGAACCAAATGGGACAGGCGAAAAAAAAGAAAAAAAAAAAGGATTAAGCTTAACTATTGAACGGCGTATATTTTAAAGTAAAGGCTTTAAAACCAAGTTAGTACAAACGTCACTAATGTCACATAACTTTGCCGACATGTGGCCAACAGTAATGTTTTAATGTTCTTCGTTATTAAACTTTTTTTTCTTTTTTTTTTTTTGGCCTGTCCCGTTTGGCTCTTTTGCCATCAGAATTGTTGTCTAAAGGCAAAGAAAGATGCCCAACGGATTTACTTTACCAAACTGACCATCCCAGCCTTGCCGTAATGGTCCATTTGATTCACCTTTTATTGTTTATTTTATTTTCACTTAATGAATAAGGGACAGACTTGACTGGGGGAAAGAAGGGGAGAAAGAAAGAGGGAAAGAGAAACAGCTGAGAAGAGGGACGGGGGAGAAGGGCAAAAAACAAAAACCAACAGAACGGGCAGAGAAAAAAAAATGCATATATCAATCACCTGGATCACCTGCTGAGAAAGAAAAAAGAAAGCAAGCAGAAGAGAACAAGAGTAATAGAATAAACAACATCACAATGATATATGGGAATATGACAGTAAATACTAAATGTTAAACATTATTGTGCAGCACATCAGATCAACAGAACACAGTGTGCTTTGAGGTAGGAGCCAAAAAGGGTGTAGTTTGTGGGTGTGATCACCCGTGTGTACACCTGTGAGCATGGACGCGCTTGTTTTTTGTTTTTTTAAAAGGTTCCTTCATGTAATGATCTGCTAGAGGGTGTGGGGGGGCCACAGCCCCGTCCTCCAGGGCGTGAAGCAGGTGTGGAGGAGATCAAAACTCCAGACATCCAGAGGCCCCCAGAACACAAGAGACCAAGGAAGACCAACAGAGGGGCAGCCGCGCCACTGTCCCAGAAAGAGCTGAGGAGAGTCCCAGATGAGGGCTCACTCAGCAGCCGCGGAGCAGAAGCCAGGGGGAGTTGCAGTGACGCGCCCGTGAGCTCCGCCGGCAGCCAGCTGCGCCTGAGTGACCGAGCCCCAGGCCGAGAGGCCGGGGGCACCCCACCTCCGAAGTGGCCCGAGCGAGCCCCAGGCTCCAGGCCCCGATAAGCGGCCGCCAATGAGTGAGCCGGTGTCGTTATTAAACATTT